AGCAGCAGCTTCGGCTCCAGTTCCGGCTCCAGCGCCTCTCGGGGTTTCTATTTCAACACAGTCCTGTCACTGGCCCGCTCCTTGGCGGTGCAAAGGCCGGCCTCTTTGGAGAAGGTAACTCCGGAGGCTGCGGCCGCAGCTGACAGGAGGCGGGGCCTCCTGCGTAGGAGCGGGAAGGCGGGGAGAGGGATTGAGCGAGGCCCAGTCGGGGGTCGCGGGCAGAGAGGGGGCCCTTAAGGGGAAGGTTTGGGGAGATGTGGTGGTCGGTGAGGGCAGGGAGTGGTATCAGCGGGGTGGGCGGGGACGCTGCGGGTAGGTGGGTGTGGGGTGGCATCTTGTGACATCGGTAGCGCGTTGACTGAAACTTGGGCGCCTGTTTGGAGTAGCGAGATGAGCCAAGGACCTCTGCTTCAAACCTGGGCCTTTGGTCTTGATTTGATCTGGTTTTTACTCCTTGACCTTGGGGAGATGTCCTGTGAAATAGGGGTGCTGTTATATAACGTGCTTTGTTCTCTTCCTCCCATTGTCGTGTAGGGCAGATGAATCACTGTCTTAAAGTGCTTTCTGAACTGTAAACCGACTGCTTTATTCAACCAGTTTGAAGGAATTAGACTTGCTAAAAGGTTGCGTCTTTGGAGAAGGGACAGTGGCAGGGATGGAGCTGTGAACTGTCAGTGGGCAGAGCTGAGGTGGTGTTGCTTCAGAAGAGAAAGAACTGCAGGAGGGTCCGGGATTTAGCTCAGCGGTTCCACTTCCTGTCTTAGAGTTCGATCCCCGGTACCAAACCAAACCAAACCAAACAAAAAACTCCTGCAGGGGGCATTCTTATCTTGGGAGAGAAATGAAAGGTAACTCAAAGGTGTACCTGGTATGGTGGAAAGAACACAGATTCTGGTACCTGGTCTGTCCCTTGATGTACATTCTCTTAGGCAAGTCGCTTCAATTCTCAGAGCCTCTTTCATTGTCTGTAAAGTGTGGTTGTCCTTGAGGAAATGAGTTGAAGTCTGAAATGCTTCGCTGAGTGCTAGGTAAGAGTGGGTGAAGAGTAAAGTCAGCTTTCTTCACCCACCAGCTTGTGTGATGAAAACTCAGCACAGTGTTAGCACTGAAGGGATTAGATTGTTTTCTCAACTTTTTTTGCATTTGGAAAGAGGATGTTTTCTGACAGGATAAGAGCAATGATTGCAGACCTATCTGGTGGAGTTGGGTGTGGTTTTGTGGCTCTGGTGATGAATGAAGCTGAAAGGCTATTTTAGTTGTTATTTGGACAGAGTGACCTAGTCCTTTACTTGGTAGATTCTCAAGTGTGATTTTATTACCTCATGATGAGCAGGTCCTGGGAGACTGATGCCAGCCTCATTCCTAGTTAAACAGTATGTGCTGGACATGGTGGCATGTGCCTGTAGTCTCAGCTACTCAGAAAGCTGAAGCAGGTGGATGCTATGAGGCCAGGAATCCAGGGCCAACTTGGGCAACATAGCAAGATGTCATCTCCGAAAAAAAAAAAAAAAAAAAAAGACCATACGCAGGGGCTTCAGAGGCTGAGCCAGGAGGATTATAAGCTCAAGCCCATCTTGGACAGTTTAGCGAGACCTTGTCTCAAAATTGGAAAAGAGGGCTGGTGATGGTAGCTCAGTGCTTTCTGGGTACAACTCCCACCCCCCTCCCTCCAAAAAAAGTACAATAGACTCAAAAGAGCATGAATTTGGATGATAGAACCATCTGATGAGCAGGTCAACTCTGATCCTCTGATTTTGCCTTTTTTATTAAAGCAAGTACTTGATAGGAATGTAGTGAAGATCAACAAAGTGACATGAATAAAGGCAGGTCTGTGGGTATCTAAGGAAAGATCACTGGTGTTCTTAGATGAGCCTATGTATTATGGACCAAAGTGCTAGTTTATTAAACTCATACTGGCTACTCAGCACAATCTCTTCTTGGTAAGAGGAGCAACAAGCCTACCAGAAATTTGATTGTTGGGTTCAGGGAGAAAAGAGAGTTCAGGGAATTGGGTGGTCTTTAAGATGATGGTCCTATAACTCATAACTATGGTAACCTTTCCCACTTTTAAAAGTGCATTTTGAGCTCAATTTGACTTCTGCCTTCAATACAAGTGTATTATGGGGGCTCATAATATGGCTCATTAAGAGTGTGGGCTTGTCAAGATTATATTTTACAATTAACACTGCCTCCACTTACTTTGGGAAGTGCTCTCTGCAGAAGAGTTAATAGAGCAGATCGAGGTGGCTGTCTTTACAAGAGCCTGCTTGCAAGTTTGGCCTTTGGCTGTCACCTGGGAATTTAGCACTTAGAACTGTTCCCTTCATTCTCTGATAAGGGTGGTTCACTGTGCCTAAACTCTTTGTATACACTGTATGATTTATGCCAAACACGCGCTGTCCTTCTGGGAATTTGGATTTGTTTGTTTGAGATAGGGTCTCACATGTAGTGTACGGTAGCTTTGACATTGCTGTGTAGCCTAGGGTGGCCTTGAACTCGTGATCCTCTTGCCTCAACCTCCAGAATGCTAGGATTACAGGCATGACACCTTTTTGGTAGTTGCTTGGCAGATGGTGACTATGTGATTAGCCTTCAATAAAAGCCTTGGTTGCTGAGTCTTCACTGGACTTCTCTGGGTGCAAACATTGCATATATATGATTGTATTGTTTTGCTGTTGCAGCAAGGAATAAGTTAGTGTTTATCCTCACAAGACAGAGAAAACATAAGCATATGAAATGGTTTCTCCATATAATATCTGTGTCTTTTTCCCTTGCTGATGGCCTTTCACTATATTAAAATCTAGTCACATCTACAACTATACATGTATGGGCATTCTTGGAAACTACGGAGACAATTTATATGTGGAAGAGGCTTTTATAGGCAGCCGATCCCATCAAATATATGGGAATTCCTCTCATCCTCATCTGGGATTTTTTTTTTGGAAAGGGTCTCACTTTGTAGGTCAGGCTGGCCTTGAACTCACTGTGTAGCTCAGGCTGTCTTCAAACTTGGAGTGATCTTCCTGCCTAAGCTTCCCAAGTGCTGGAATTACAGGCATACACCACTGTGCCCGACATCATCTATGATCTTGGGACTTCCTTATGGCAGGGATTATTGTTACTGTGTATTTAGTTCTGTAATATGTATCTGCTTACTACATTCCTTTATTTTATTTATTTATTTTGGTTTTTTGAGACAGGGTCTCTCTAAGTAGTTAAGGCTGACCTGGAACTCATCATGTAGCCCTGGCTGTTCTTGAATTTACAGCGATCCTCCTGCCTCAGCCTCCCGAGTGCTGGGATTACAGGTGTGTGCCACCACGCCCGGCCTACATTGCTTATTTTAAAACAATCAGCAGAAGTCTTTAGCATACCTAAGGAAAAATTCTTGAGATTCTTAAGAGTATAGAAATTTCTGAGTATCCAACTGGATTTATAAAAATGGACAGTTAAGGGGGAGGTGAGTGTTGAAAAATGAACCCCTTTATTTGTTTTTCTCTCTTTTCTTTGAGAGAGTTGTCAGAGGACTAAGAGAAGCTTAGGTCAGTCAGTTAGGGTTGACCTGGGGAAGGCTCGGTTTGCTGGTCTGCACCTGACATCTCAGATATTGGTAATTAATGCAGGCAGCCCTGAAATGCTTTTAGTGGGTTGAGGCACCTTAATGACATATCTTCCCTACCTTTGTCCCGCTACATGCCACAGTTGTTTTTAGTTTAGTCTCCACTCTAATCTCAAGTGGTGACACCAAGCGTATCATTACTCAGATTTTATTGTTTTTCTCTAGTTACTTCATTCACTCTTTCATTCAGAAAATGTTTATTGAATTGCTGTTTATTGGTATGTGCCAAGGCCAGGCAAATTTTTAAAAAAATACTAGTCTTAATTTGATTGCTCAGATGATCAGCAACAAGTTAAGACTTTTTGAAAGTTCTCTCATCTGCTGTCATTGTCTGAGCCTGGCAACCAGACTCCTGCTGTGTTCACAGAGCTAAACCTTTGGACATCTTTCCTTTGATTCACTTGTGTTCTTTGATGTTTTCCTTAGGCTGCTCCTAAGACTGGAGTTTCTTTCCTGAGACTTGCCCCTAAGATTGTATCCTACCTCAGGACATTGTGAAGCCTTATGGACTCTACTCTGTCCTATGCCCTGTCCCTCAGGAATATAGTATAGTGGAGAAAAACAGATAAGAATAAAGTCAGTCTTCTCAACAGTAGAATCAAGCCAGGTGTGGTGGCATGTGCTTGTAATCCCAGCACTTGAGAGGCTGAGGCAGGAGGATTGCCACCAATTCCAGGCCAGCCAGGGCTACACAGTGAGTTCAAGGCCAGCTTGAACTACATAATAAGACCCTGTCTCAAAAAAAGAAAAATCATAGACTCTTCATATGATCAGTTTTCAGACTCAGGCCCTAATTTCTATTGGTCTTGTTCTGCTTTTCTGGTTCTTACCTATCTTCAGAATGTTGCTGAGCTGCCACAAAGAATCTTCCTCCTGGCTCTGCCTGGTTTTCTCTCCTGTCAGGAAACCCCGTGACCTGTGCTTGCCTCTCCTCAGGCCTGTGTCATATCATTGGAGCCCCCCGGCCCCAAG